TACCCTTACAACAAGGGGAATGTATAATGAAGCGAGAATTTTGGGAAGACTGAATTGTGGCATTTGAATTTGCCCACCTACTGCCGTCCCCTACTCTCGAGCTTGGCAGCAGCCGTGAAAACAGCAGCCCACATTCCTGATGTAACTTGCTGGTGTGAGAGAGAACAATACAGATCTTTATATAAAAAATGTTCCTTTGTGTTGTGACTTGTCTAGTAGCTACCTGAAAGCCATGCTCAGAAATGCTGTGCTACACCTGCAGTCTCAGGGATGTCGTAGGACTGAAGTGGCCTGCCAGGCAGCATTTGTCAGGAGCATTTAAAGGCAAATAAATGCACTAACTATGGCCCCAAGGAAGAAGGAATAACAGATGGGGGAAATAATAGACAGACTGAAAAGCATGGAAAGGAAGAGACTCAGAAAGGAACCATATAAGGAAATAAGGACTTTGAAATCTCCCATGTATAGAATACAGAGGGACTGAGGAAGGACAGAGAACCCAGCTTTCACTTCTGACTTTTAGCCTCTAGAAAAGAAGTAAAGACCCACATAGAGTTGTAAATTGCCTAGATAACCTTTGGTGTGACCCACTCCAAGGCAATTTGCAAACACTGAGGGATGTTTTAATTTAAAAAATTAGTTCTAAACATTTAAGGAAATTCTTATCAAATCACTAGCTCACTCTTAAGCTAAAAGAACTGAGATTTCAGTAGGCACAAATATAAAAATATAATAATTTTAGAAAGAGTTTACATAAACCACTAAACAAATAATTTTAAAGTACAAGCAACAGCAGTGAGTTCTGGAGAGGAGGCAGTTTGAATCCCAGAATTATCACATTTAATAGGGAGAGAGCCAATTTTCAGCAATGGGGAAAAATATCTACTAGGTATGTAAAAAATGAAGTACAAAGGGCTGGAGAGATGACTCAGAGGTTTTTAAACATAAAGCAAAGAAAACCAGCCCACAAATCACAATCCCAGAGAACCTAGACAACAATGAGGACCCTAAGAGAGATGTACATAAATTTAATCTACATGGGTAGTAGAAAAAGACAAGATCCCCTGAGTAAATTGGGAGCATGGGGACCTTGAAAGAGGTTGAAAGGGAAGGAAGAGGCAGGGAGGGGAGCAGAGAAAAATGTAGAGCTCAATAAAAATCAATAAAAGGGAAGAAATTAAATAAATAAAAAGAAATTAATACAAACTGTCATTGAGTAATCCTAATGGATTTACATCAGTCAGATCCCACCCTGGTCTGGCCCTGGTTTGCCTCTCCTACTTACCCTGTATCAACTCATTAGAAGCCACCCTACCCATCGTGGTGTTCTTCAGACCATCTGTCTTGCTCCTACTCTTGGCCTATGCTATGCTCTCCCTCTGAAATGTGCTTTTCCCACTGCTTTCCATAGCTCACCCTGCTCACTCGGACTCTATTCTTTTCTGCTTCCCAGAGGTGTCTTTTCATCTGCCTTATCTACAGCAGCCAGGCTTCCCCCACTCCCTAGCCTTTCTGATACTTTACTGTTCAGTCCATCACTCTCTCGAATGTTTTCTTGCATATCTGCTTTACTAGCGTGAAAGGTCCTTAGCAGCAGGTCCTTTATTTGCACACTGTGGGTCACTCAGCATCGAGACAGAGCAGGAAATGAGCAATCAGCAAACAAACAGAGGCAATCTATACATGTTGAATAATAACAAAAACTATGAAAAACTTTTAAGACACATCTGAGATGTCTCCCTCAGCTCAGAATTCTTGTTTAAGAAGAATTTAATTATTAGAGAGGATCTGTTCACTGACGATTCTTCAGTGAGGTAATGTCTCATGCCACCTTGGCTCTTACGTATATTCCAGGAAAGGCAGCCACAGATGGGAGAAGGGGGCATGTGGGTGGCGGTGAGGAAAGTTCTGTCCATGGGAGCGACTGCTGGTCAGGGTCAGTACTCCAGAGTGCTGCAAGTGAACGTCTCTCTCTGCCCAGCAGAGTCAGGCCAGTTCTGGCTATGGTAGGGTTATAGATATCCCTCAGTTTTCAAAGTGTATTATTCTGGTAGAGGGCGGAGAATGAGAAGCATTGTGTAGTATTGCCTTTCTGCAGAGAAAGGAGTCCGTGCACTAAGTGGACTTGGTCTCTAGAAAGGTGTCCTTGGCTTTGTAAGTCCTAAGACCACCTCAAAAGAAGTGATTCTGTAAAATTAAATTTATGAACAGCTATGAGTTTTTCTCAGCTTGATTTCAACTATGTATTTTTAGTATGTGTAGAAAAGTTTTTAGAACTCCTTTATGGAACTTTTTACTTTGTCAATATTGTAGTCACTTTCTTTTCTTTCCAAACATACTATAATAACTTCAGTTACATGTTCTGAGGCTTAGGAGCAAGTGATAAAAATATTGTTTCTGAAGCCAGATATATTGGGTTCAAAGCCTGGCTTTGTCACTCACCAGCTGGGTAGGTTAGCCTTTTGTGCCTCAGTTTCTTTTTCTGTAAATTGAATGACAGTAATACCTGTATTACAGCCTTATTATTAGGATTTCATGAGATAATACATACAATATACTTAACATAATTCTGGCTTGCTTAGTATGGTTCGGAAAATATTAGCTGATGCAGCCACAGCTGCTCCTAAATTATAGCTGTGACTGTATGTACATATGTCTCAAAATGATTTTTAAAGATCTTATCGTAGGGCTAGAGATAATGCCAGTGGTAGAACATGTGCCTAGTATACGTGACACAGGGTTAGCACCCAGTACCACCCACATACACGAAGGAGCTGAAATTACAATGTGTTACAACCTTGTAAAGATCAGAGAGTTCCTGGCTTTTATATGAATCAGTCCCAGGATGGTTTCCTGGAGTGCTCCTGTATAAAGTTTTATTGTCTGAGGTCTTTACATTTTAGTTCTGACATGTGTCAGGCATGTGTTTAATCTTCTAAACAATGCCTCCTGTTAACTTGAGTCTATGAACACTTTTTTTCAGCTACTTAGAGACATTTTATTTTTTTCTGATTTTCTATTTCTTAAATATAAAAAGTTATTGGAAAATTAAGTCCCTGGGATGAAGGATAAAAAATTATGTCTACAGAGAGATATTAAAATGAAAACACATCTAATTTAGTTCAAGTAAACAAGCTGCAACAATACTACCTGCGAGATACTAGAAGGGCAATGATGAAAAAAGAATACAGTCCTGGACCTTCAGAAGTCTGCACCATTGAGAGGGAGCTGAAGTTGAGAGATGCCAAAGTTCTCTGCCCTGGTACATGAAAGCCAAGAGAAGGGCCCTTAACACTCTCTTGGGCCCTACGAGGGATTTAATGATGCACCCCGGCAGGATTATGTCTGAACTGAGCCTCCTCGATGGCCAAGGGAAGAAAGGCTGATGGTCTGTCCTAAGCGGGAAACAGTGCTGGGCATGGGATAGAAAGCAGCACGGAGCTCGTGGCAGAGACTGTGGCTGTGTGTGAGAATAAACAGCTGGATATCGGTATTAAGTTTTAAAAAGTAATATGGGAAATGGTAATATATGAAGCTAGGGAGTCAAATGTGCAGGGGCCAGACTCCAGGGGTCCCACAGTCTGTGTCATACTGAGAAGCCTGGGTGCTAAACTTTTCAGCAAATTTAGGAAACTTTAAGAAAAACAGCAATCCTCAGACTTTCATTTTGGAGGTATAATTGAGATTGCAGAGGCAAAACCCAAAAACTAGAAAAGGTGAGGAAGAGGCAGCAGTATAGATGGCCATTACAGTTCCAGGAGACAGCAGGGTCAGATGGAGGGCCAGGCGGAGAGGAGAGTGGGGAGGAGACAGCCCCAGGTGAAAGTGAAAGAATCTGGAGACATAGATGGAGCAGGCAAGACAGGATCCAGGATGACTTCCAGGTTTCAGGCCTTGAGTAACTGGGTAGATGAAAATGGAGGTTAACTCAGACAGGTACAGGTTGGTTGCTTGTTATTTCAATTTTGTTTTTGTCCTGAGGGGCACAGGAAAATAATATACTAAGTTGGGTCATCCCAAGTTTGGGACAGCCACAGAAGAGGGCAGAACTAGAGGGAGAGGTTCTAGTAACTAACAAGTTGATCCACGAAAGCAGGTGGAAAGTCGGGGAAATGTGTGAAAACAAAAGAAGAGCAAAGAGACAAGGCTGTCAGGAGCCACAGAGCTCAACAGTACCAGGCAGGAGAGCCACGCCTGGCTTTCAGATAGCGCTCAACACTGCTAAACATAGCTGCGATGGCTTCCTCTTCTGCACCCACTACATTAGGCCCTGTGCTCCTGTTTTCATAGCACACATCAAGTGATCGTTATCCATATGCCAAGCTGATGAGAGTCACGTCAGGGAAGTCACAGAACTTAACCAAGGTCAAAGGGCAAGTTGGCAGAGCTCAGATCTGAACGCAGATCAACTGGGTCACAATGCCCAAGCTCTTAATTCCTCTAAAGCAAAAGTTCTTCAGGGTGTAGCTTAATACCAGCAGGATAAGGACAGCTCTACGCCACGTTTCTATGCTTTCTAGAAGACCTGTAGACTGGATGTCTAAATAGTAAATACTGGGTCCTGTGCAATCATGTCTCAGCAGGTTCAACGATTTTCTTCACAAATTTGTATTTCATAAATACCTGACTGGCTGCTGATGCAGACAGGGCGGTCTGTTTTCCTGACTGCAGCCCTGTGGTGATAACACAAAGTGCAAGCCCTGGTTGAGCTAGTTAGTGTTGCTCAAGGAAAACTACACACCTCAGACTTGGGCGTTTGCGCTGACTCAGCTTCTCACAAATCTGTTGGCTCCGAGAAGAGCTGGAGAGGACATGCACAGTTTGGCATTAAACTACACAAACATGGACAAAGTTACTAAAATATCCCTTTTATAGAAGGAAGGAATATTTTAGGTGATACTTTGTGTTCCATTTTAAGGACAGAATGAGAAAGTTACAAGCCCAGAACAAAAGCAGTCATTGCCCCATTTCCTTCCAGGGGAAGCAGCAGCAACACTTACCATTCGGTGGATAAAAGACAGCGTATTCTTCCAGTCCTAGCTTTCCTGTAAGAGAAAGCCACAGGTGGTAAAACAGAGTTTGCTGGGTTTGTTTTTGTTTTTCTGAGACAGAGTTCTCTGTGTAGACTTGGTATCCTGGAACTTGCATTTTAGACCTTAAATTCAAAGAGAGTTCTGTCTCTGCCTCAGAAGTGCTGGGGACTAAAGGCATGCACCGCCACCACCTAGTTAAAAAAAAAAAAATTCTGTGAATGTCCTAATAAAGAATGGATAATGAATGGAATTTTAAGAATAACCACAGTCTAACTTTATTTTCTTTCTTGATATGGAATTAGTTGAAAATCTGTCAGCCATGTGTCTGACACCAACAAAGCCTTTTAGGAATTAAAAGGAATTAAAATCAATAATATTGCTTAAACATTGCTTTCAATTTCCTTACGCACTTGAAAATAATTTATCAGCATCCAATTGTTTTTCTAAACTTAAAAACACTGCTCAGTAAAGCAAGTCTGATGTCTTGCCATATCCCATTAGCTTGTACTTTTAGAAAATGTGCTAAGAGTTCAAAACAAAATATCTTTTTTTCTTCAAGACAGAGTTTCTCTTTGTATCTTTGGCTGTCCTGGAACTTGCTTTGTAGACCACGTTGGCCCCAAACACAGATCTGCCTGCCTCTGCCTCCTGAGTGCTGGGATTAAAGGTGTGCACCACCACACCTGGCCAAAACTAAATATCGTCAACTGTGTAACAGTCATGTATCCTGACTTCCAACACAGTTTGTGTGATAGAGAAAAAGGACGGATGGTTGAAAACAGCATTGTTCTGGGACAGTCCGTTCTCTGTAATGTTCAAGAGCTGCTCACTTTCCCATCATCCACTGAGTAACTTGAGGTGGGGAGCTGGCTAGTTTCATGTCAACTTAACACAAGCCAAGTTATCCGAAAGGATCAAACCTCAGTTGGGGAAACGCCTCCATAAGACCAGGCTGTAAATAGACAAGCCTGTAGGGCATTTATTTTTTTTTAAATTAGTGGCTGACTGGAGAAGGCCCAGTCCTCTGTGGGTGGAGCCTTCCCTGGGCCTGGTGGTCCTGGGTTCTATATAAAAGCAGACCGAGCAAGCCCTGAAAAGCAAGCCAATAAGGAGCACTCCTCAGTGGCCTCTGTGTCACCTCCTGTCTCCAGGTTCCTGCCCTGTTTGAATTCCGGTCTCACTTCCTTTGATGATGAACTGTAAATATGGACGCATAAGCCACTGCCTTTGTCATGGTCTCCTCGCAGCAATTCTAACCCTAATGAAGACAGGGGGCTTTCAGCTTGACAGTTTTCTGAGCAACTCTGCATTTACTAAAAAGACATTGATTTTTACATTGGGATTTGAATTAAAATTTATTAAGTGTTTTGTTTTTTTTATTGGGTATAAGGCAGGGAGAAGAGTAAAAAGTGTGGCCATCTTAGGTTAAGGTGGGGACACACAAAACTGATCTTTGTGAGAAGAAACAATGGAATAAGAAGACCTGGACACACAGGTGATCACAGCAGTAGACATCGAGACAAACATGGCAAATATAGGGTACAGTCCTCACCCCCATGGCCTACAACCCAGGCCAAACCACAAATGACGGAATAGGACTGCTGACTTCTTTTAAATGGACTTGAGGGTTTCAGTGCTCGGGGAGGGAACTGATGATAGGCTGGCAGACATGAGACAGGCTAGGTCAGCAAGGACCTATAATTTGTGGGCCTGGAATGTGAAGTTTCTCAGGCACTGGGGCTCTGGAAGGGCGAGGATGAATATAGACAGTGTGAGATAATCAGGGAGGGAAAGAAGATGAGGTTAAGATGACAGGTGGAGGGTCTTAAATTACAGCTCATTTTAGTCCACTAGGTAATTCAATTTTATCATCACTCTATGTGCAGGATGGGATGTAGATGTATATGTGTGTGTGTGTGTGTGTGTGTGTGTGTGTGTGTGTTTGCATGTAGAGGCCAGAGATCACAGTCAATTATCTTCCAATCACCTTCACTTATTTTCTGAAGCTTCAGCTAGGCTAGCTGACCAATGAATGGGATCCACTTGTCTCTGCACCCCAGTGCTAGGGTTTCTGCACACTGCTCTGCCTGGCTTTACTGGGAACCAAAGTCAGAGCCTCGTGTTTGCACCACAGACAACTTATCAACTGAGCCATTTCCCTACTCCAACATTCTCTTTGGATAAAAAGAAAAGAAAGTTTTTATGTATTCATGTCAGCTCCAAGTTGGGAAAGCCTGACTCCAACACAAGATGATGGAGTTTATCCTACCTAGGGCAAAAGTTGGAACAACCAGGCAGCGATAAAATCCTGGGTAAATGGGTTCTTTCTTCATGGAAGCAGCAAAAGGGTCACACATAAACAGACAATGGGGCAATGAGATTTTAGTGCTGGGTGATGAGGGAAAAAGAGAGAAGGGCTCAAGTTAGTTCAGTCTCCAGGCGATGGCAGGACCCGAGACGGCGGCACAGACACGATGAGGCAGCTAGCGTTAGACAGAGCACTAGAATAGAAATTAGAGGGGAGTAGCACGTACTTTATGCCATAATTTTAAGCCTAGCAGAACTAGACAAATTCGAAGATTAATTCACAAAAAGAAAGTTAAGAAAAATTGAAAAGGCGAATCCTTGTGATGAGTTTATGGGTAGGGAAGAGAAGAAAATCCGACAGATTTGGTGCAAATGGGACAGAGGAGGCAGGAGATGGCAAGGACTAAAAAGGCAGCTGTGATCTGGAGGACGATCTGGGATTTGTTGCTGGGTGCAGAGAAATCAGAAGTAATTTTCAGCTTAAAAACTGGAAATACCAATATAAGTTATAAACCATTCAAACATTCTTGGAACGATTATGTAAGTTTGTAGTAATTTCTCTTTAGTATTATTAAAACATTACCTCTGATGTAGGATTTCGGTGGTGAAGCGCTGTTGTATGCAAAATGACCCAGTACAGACGTATCCCGTGAAAAACAAAGTAATACCTGGATATAACATTAGAAAAATAAACAATGAGCACTGCTATAAAACAACTGGTAACCATTAAATTAATTATAATTTCATACAGAGGAAGCCCTGGAGTGGGATGGCTTAAATTTGGGGCTGCTCTTTGTAATGGGAAGAGCGCCCTCTGTTGGTAGACTTACACTAAGTGCTCATGGAGGGACTCCTCATGAAGGCAGTCAATTCTTGTGAGGATTTTCCCCAATTTGTCCCCAGACTTTAAACACTAGAAAACGCAAGTTGCTAACTATGTGATGATTTTCCTGTGTTTTATCTGGAGACTAAAATCACCTTGAGAAACTTAACAGATGATGAGAACTACACGGGGCACCTGAGGGTGATCACACACAAGCACCGAGGAGGTACAGGAACTGGGAATCAGACTTAATAGGTGTGCTACAATGGGGAGGGCCTCCATCCCCAGAAAGCATGGCAGCGGCAAAGCAAAGGTTTTCCCAATACAGGTAGAAGCTGACTGTCTCGGTCAGCAGGGGCACACAGCAACTCTATCAAGAAATAAAACAGAGAGGGTGCAATCAGGACCAACCCAATAGAACAGCGTCAGCTGGACTGTTGACACCAGCCTGAAACTGGGGGCAAGAGTCCAGTCCTCAGGAAGGTTAAAACATTCAGAAGACCCGGGATCCCGACTCATCACAAAGAGGACTGCATAAGAAAAATGGGCACAGAATGAGGAATGATTTTGGACCCTTTGTGGCAGGGCAGGTACCCATCTAGACTTAATTTTGCTGGACTTTCAACTGTAGCTCTACAGTTTATTAACTGGATGACAAGGGCAAGTGACTGGACTTCTAAGTATTTGTGTCCTTATAAATATATGTAAAATGCATATAATAACAATGCTAAGGTCTAAGTGTATTGTGGGGATTAATTGGTATGCAGGAAGTATTTAGAATAGTACCTGGGTATGTCACATTATTTAAATGTTATCTACATTTGTGTCCTTATAAGTATATTTAAAATGCATATAATAACAATGCTAAGGTCTAAGTGTATTGTGGGGATTAATTGGTATGCAGGAAGTATTTAGAATAGTACCTGGGTATGTCACATTATTTAAATGTTATCTACAGTTATTGCTAAACTGTTAGTAGTATTCTATATTTGCTAGTCTCTGTCCTTGAAATATTTAATTAGGGATTTGTTTATATTGCTCAGCTACCGTGTTTCTTCAACTTAAAACTCTGTATCTCCACTTCTGGGAAACACTCAAGCATTATATTTTTGAATGATCCCTACTTTTCAATATTTATGTTTATAGGACTTCTATAATTCTGACATCCGCCTCATCAACCTTCTGTCCCTTTCAATTATGTCTATCACGTCAAACTCCACTTTTGAGAATTTGCACAGATTTCTAAGTCAGCTGACTGTCTTCTTTCGCTCTTATGATCCACCAAGCACAATGCCAGGATGAAGTAAAAGAAAGTCACGCAAACAAACCTTGCTCTCAGTTACGGTGAAGGGAGGTAACAAGCAGCAAGAGTGGTGCCAAAGTAAATCAGATAGCACACTAGGTGGCAAGTCCCGTAGGAACAAGATAAAAGAGGCCCAGAGAAGGGCTTGTCAGTCCATAAGGAGTGGTTTTTGAGAAGGTGCCCTTTGGTCAAACACTTGAAAAGGGTTGAGAACCTGAGTGTGTGGTTGACTGGAGAAGAGTACCCTGGGAAGGAAACGGAACAGTTGAAATGCAGTGGAGAGGGGAGCTCTGGGGCTGTGAAGGTGGAGCATCAATGTCAGATGTTGGGGACAGTTGTCTTTGTGTCAGTGGGCATATGCCTAGCACTCAATAGTAACACTCAATAGTAACACTACACTAAATAGTAAGTAACACTAAATTCCATTAAGACAGGCATGCTAGTATTATACGCTCACTGTTATGCTAAGAAATAACGTTTCCTTTCTAGGATACAAATGGCATAAAATGGATATTAGGTTGTAAATATTAACAATGAAAACACTTAACATTGCGTTTAGTCAGCCATATTGATGAGACTTCATGAGTGGAGTCTCTCGGACAGGTTTCCAGGAGACACAATCTCACAGCAAACTCTCTTTCCTCTGTCTTTTCAATCTTTCTGTCCCCTCTTTCACAATGACCCCTGAGCCTTATTCACAGGAATTGTTCTAGTTGTGTCAGTTAGGACTGGGGTCCATAATTGATCAGTTTTAATGGTCTCCACCTTTCACAATAACCCTAAGTAAGGAGGCAATACTTGTCTGCATAGCCTAGTAGCCTAATTGGACTTAAGGCTGGCTCACCAATAGGGAAATCAAGCCTGGTATTGGAAACCTAACCAGCCACCTAAGGATGGTACTCAGGGAGGAGGCACTCAGGTCAGTTCCAGCACAGGGCCCTCTGTCTTGTATCTTACGTGCATGGTGTCCTTAGCAATAAAGACTTACCTTCCACTTCTGGGCCAACCAAGGGCAACAGCAATAGCCTAAATACTTTGGGAGTCTCCTGAGCAACGCCTGTACCTAAGGCTCAGGGGGCATTTTGAAAAAGTGGCAGAAAGTTTAGTAAAGAGCTGAAAGTTTGCTGTGAGGCTGTGTCTTCTAGAAATATCCGAAGCTACATCCATGAAATCTTAGCAACACAGCTGCCTAAACATGACCTGACCAAGGAAGAGACCAAGAGCCATGCAAATGTGGAAGGGGGAAAACCCATGAGACCTCCACCCTAGACAAAGAACTCCAGAAAAACAAGGATGCTAAGAGCTGGAGAAGCAGTCCTCCCTGAGAAAAGCACACTGACTGGTTATCTACTGCCAAATTGTCACCTCTGAAACACACAAATACAAATAACATTATATGGACTGAGTGAGTTGTATTTATGCATTTCAGAGTACATAAGTATATTTGAAAGTTAAACAACTGCAGAGAAAAAGACCATTAATTTGAAAAAGAGCAAGTTGTGGGAAGGGCATGGAGGGAGGAAAAGGAAGGCAGAAATGATGTAATTATAATCTCGAAATTTATTTTAAAAAATTGATCTTATAGATGTCATTACATTGACAATCTGTAAATGGCAAGATTACCCAGGATTGTATTACTGGACATAACATAATCATAGTGATCTTTATAAAGAAGACAGAGGCAGCAGGGCAGTGAGAGAGACTTGACGATGCTGTCTACTGCTGCCTCTGAGAATGGTGGAACCAGCTGTAAGTCAACGCATGAACGTCATTCTAGAAGCTGGGAAAGACAAAGGAATGGGCTCTCCTTCAGAACATCCAGAAATAATGCAACCCTGTGGATACCACGACTGTGAGCAAATCAAACCACTTAGATTTCTGTCTCAGAACCTCAAGTAAGCTAGTACAAATAATAAACTAAGTACAAATAATTAACTAAGATAACTCTAAATAAAGGCAAAAATACCCAAAAATAAACCAAGGAAAATCCTAAGGAAATGTTTATATCAACATCCCCTTAGTTTAGCAGGCTGGGGTAGCACAGTAACTTTAGAAGAAGCACTGTGCTTAAATATATCCCATAGAGGCGCTGCTGCCTGTGGCCCCGAGAAGGCAGGACATCTGAGATGCCCGAGGGGAACACTGGGACTGTAAAGTGAGAATGCCAGGGGTAGTGCATAGACAGTACGTACCAGGGCGCAACCCTGGGATATGAGCAGAGCTGCCAGGTTCATCGTAAACCTGCTGGGCTGCACACTCAGAAGGCAGTGGTCACTTACAAATTAAGCAAACTGAAATGTAGTAGGTGAGCTTACTCACAGCAGGGCTCTCCATTATTTAGAAGAATTGTAAGAAACCAGGCACTCATACGACCTGAAGGTTTATACCACAGAGTTAGACCAAAAACGTCTGCAAACAGTTTACCTGGGCTGAAAGCTTTCTTAATATGTCAAAGTATATTTCTTCTCAACGTTTCTAAGAAAAAAGTCATTTGTGTGATAAAAACCACAAAAGAAATGATGGGTACCATCTGGACAACACGGTTAACATGTAAGTGCTAAAATCTTCCCGTTTGTATTTTTTCTAACTAATGAAGAAATGATAACATTTCAAGAATGGCTTGAAAAGCACTCTTCCCTGCCTTAAATTTTTCATAATTTAAAGGGCAGTGTGGCTTACTGGGTTTTGGACATAGAACAGGCTTGGGGTCCTTGTAGTTGTACGAGCTTGGGATCTTATCTTCTGCATTTCATCTAAATAAGGGAATAAGGTTACCCTGAAGAGCCAGGCATCCCTGCAGTCTTGAGATTCAGCTGAGGCAGGAGGATCAGTAGTTTTAGGACAGCATGGGCTATATAGCAAGACCCAATTTCAAAACTCAAACCCAAAGAATGGAACATTTTATGTGGTTCTAAGAATTAGCCATCAAGAGGACTCTACGACGATAATGAAGTAGCACGAAGCCATGACGCTATCTTCCTATCCAGACAACTACCGTGCAGGCAGCGATGTCTCACAGAGCTATCTGGGAAGCATGGAGTCTGTGGATACCTTGGAATTTTCAGGGGGACCTCCAGTGGTAAATTGTGGCTAACATGGTCAATGCTAGCTCACAACACAGCAGCATTTACCCTCTCGCTACTCTTGAGAAGCAGTCATGTATATTTTCTTAATACTTTTATAAAGCAAATAACTAACAGGCATAACGCCACACAATACAAATATGATTTTAACTTACTTTGTAAGTAACCAAATTTAAATTTTCTAGTAATGATTGCTACTTCCTTATAGTGTACGTCCCAAAAAATTCCAGCATGCTTGCTGTTCCTTACAGACAGAGAAATAAGACTCGGAATTTCCTGTCACAGTGGGAGCTACAGGTCCTTCCTTGCTGCGCTGTAGAACTGCACACTACTCTGGACACCTGATCCCTGACCGGTGACTACTGCGTCTGCCTGGAGCGGTGCAGAGGCAGAGGGTGGAAGTGGAAAAGGGTCGGCTGTCACACATACCTCCACTGCTCTAGCTGAAGTCAAGGTCCTGGATTTAAAGAGCAGACTGCTCCCACCCCTGATCCATTCTCTTTTCTTCCTGTTAGGAGACAGGACATTATAACAAATGCCTCTGACTACGGAAAAACTGAGAAGGTAATCTTCCATGCCCAGGTAAAAATGTAGGCTCAGAAAAGTTCTTGATGTTGTATCTCATGCTGAGTTTGGAAAGAACTTACAAAAATCAAAGCAACAAAACCTCCAAATGATACCTAAATATATGGGCTAAGAGGTGAAGACAGTATGGTTTTCAGAGATACATTATTATACCCAAATATCCAGTTTTCAACAAAAATCATAAAGAACAAATACTAAGAAATGAGAAAATATGGGCCATTCAAATGAAAAAGTCAAACGAAATTGTCCCTACAAAGATCTGATGGCAAATTTAAATGTTTAGGGGTTAAGATGATGATCTCAAAGAGGATCACATAAAGAAATATGTGGAGAAAACAAACAATGACATTTGAACAAGATGGAAACCCCAACTAAGAGACAATGAACTCAGAAAAACAACACAAAACAGAAACAAAGACTGAAATGAAAACTCACTGGAAGGATCAAAGGCAGATTGGAACAGGTGGAATATATCCTCCAGAGCTGAAGATAAAAGCATTGGAAATAATGGGTTTGTGAAATAGAAAAAAGAAAGTACTAAAATGAACAGACATTGGAACCTATGCATCACACTGACTACTGTATGTGCTGTACAGAGTCCAAAAGAAGGAAAGAAAGAAAAAAGGAGGAAAGATAGTATGGTTTGGGGATTCCAGAATAAGACACTAGAGAGGAGGAAGCAGTGAAAAATCAGCCAAGCTCGATGACAATGCCAGTAGGCAAAACACAAGGAAGCTCATGATCTCATAGCCTAGAGGCCAAGAAAAACAAGGAAATTGAAGAGGCATGATCAGCGGTGCACATAACCTCACAGTGGCTGTGACTAATGTGTGCGGGACCTGCATAAGACCAAGCAAGACAAAAATCCCTTTTTTGGGGGGGACATGAAGTCCCAGCCCAGCTGAGGAACTATTGGCACCTGATGATTGACAGAAAGGAAAGGTCAGTTTTCTTCAGGAATGTGACCCCTGACAGGCTATCCATTCTACAGGAGATGGTCCCCAACCAATGCACATACAAGCTGCACAACTGGATTCAATGTTTTGTTGTTATTGATTTTGTTTTTCTAAGGAAGAGCACATGAGGTTGAGAGGGAAAAGTGATGGGGGGTTAGAATGTCCTTTCTGTGCCAATGAGTTCAAGTCCATTCTCTCCTTTCTCTTCTGACAGAGTCAGGGTATCTGGTCTTATGCTGAAGTACTTGATCAATTTGGAGTTGACTTTTGTGCAGGATAGTAAATATGGATCTATTTTCTTTCTTCTACATGCAGCCATTCAGTCTGATGTGGCCATTTGTTGAAGATGCTCTATTTTCTCCAGTGTATATTTTTGACTTCTTTATCAAAACTCAGAAGTCCATAGGTGTATGGACTTATGTCCGTGTCTTCAATTCCATTTCACTGGTCAATATGTCTGTTTTTATGCAAGTAGAATATTGTTTATATTGTTGTAGCTCTGTAGTATAACTTGAAATATATAATGGTGATATCTGCATAAGTTCTTTTATTATTTAGGATTCTTTTGCTATCCTGTTTTTTTTCTTTTTTTCCGTGTGTGTGTGTGTGTGTGTGTGAGTTTCCATATAAAGTTAAAGATTGTTCAGTTTCTTTGAACTGTGTTGGAATTTTGATGGGGATTGTGCTGAATCTGTAGACTGCTTTTGGTAGTATGGCCGTTTTCACAATATTAATCCTACCAATCCATGGGCATGGGAGTTTTTTCCATCTTCTGGTGTTTTATTCAATTTCTTTCTTGAGTATCTTAAAGTTTTTACTATACAAGTCTTCCATGTGCTTGACTGGTGTTGTCCCAAGGGTTTTATTGTTGCCATTTTAGGATACTGTGAAAGGTATGGTTCCCTGATTTCCTTTTGTCATTTGTACATAGAAAAGCTACTGATTTTTGTGTGTTAATTTTGTACCCTGTTACTTTGCTGAAGGTGTTATCAGCTGTATAAGTTTCCTGGTAGAGTTTTTATGTATAAAACCATATCATCTGTAAGTATATTAAATTATTTATAAAGTTTTAAGTAATTGGACTATTAATAAAATAGCTTTAAAATATCATAATGAAAAAGTATTTTTTGCTTTGAGACAGGGTTTTTCTGTGCAGCCCTGGCTGTCCTGAAACTTACTCTGTAGACCAGGCTGACCTCAAACTCACAGAGATCCACTTGCTTCTCCCTCCTGAGTGCTGGGATTAAAGGCCTGTGCCACCATTGCCCAGTGAAAAAAGTATTTATTAATACCTGACTATGTAAAAAAAAAACCTTAATTGAGTAATTTCTTAAAAGAGAAATCTCTGTATTGTAAGTGTCCTTTCATTAGCAATGAGAATAAAGATCTATATCAACGCTTATTTAGAAAAACTAATAAAGAAAATAGTGTGTTACACAATAGACTAAAATTTAGTCTTTAAAAAGAATGCATCATTCCACATGAGACAGTATGGATGAACCAGATGGCCCTGCTTATTGAGACAAGCCTGTCACAAACAAAGATGGCAGTGAGACTTTTAAAGGGCCAAACACACATCAGCGGGGATCAGAGCAGCCATTGCCAGAGTTTGCAGAGCACACAGGAGGGAATCGATAGTCAATGGATTCAGTTATGGAAAAGTTATCATAAATTCGTGAGATAGGCTATGCCCCACATATAGCTAATAATAACACTTATTTAGTATTATTTATAAAGTACAACAGCAACAGCAGTCATGAGATGTGGTTGGGAAAAATTATGGAAAACCAAAAAAGAATGGAATTTGAACTAAAATGTTGATAAAAAATGCCCTGCCTCAGCACCTAGACAGCAGGCCATTGAGGGAACTGTAGTTTACAGTGTGGTGATCGTGAGGATTCCCTAAAGATTGTCCTGGTTTTCTCGGCAAACACATGCACTGTTTGAAAAAGATGTTCCTGTCTGACTTGTTTACTTTCAAGTTTCTTACATATAAGTCACTTATGTGGGGGTGGAATGGATATGCTCTTATGGGTTATTCTGGTATTAACTGGAGAAATTGTTACCCTTGCTCACTGACTCTGTCAGCAGGTGAATTTGTCACCCAGCAAACTTCTGTTACCACCACCAAAAGACTTTACAGTTGGAACTTAAAACTGATGGTCTCTCCTCATTCACTAAATGTGATAAGCTTGTCAAATTTACACTCTCTGTAATCACACATTGAAATACAACAGTCAGAGACTATAAATCACGACATTGTTGGCTCTTGGTTGATACATGGTAATAGATATGTCCATAGGTTTGGTGTTATAACACTTTTAATGTAGTATGGTGTATATGTATGTATGTGTATAGATGCATGTGCATGTGTACATTCATATGTGTTTGGATGTGTGTGCACGTACACGTGTGTATGAAGATCCAAGATTGATGTCAGAAGTCCTCTTTAATTGCTCATTACCTGAGTCATTGAGGCAGGGTCTCTCCCTTGAACCTACAATACAGGCCAGTCTAGCTAGCCAATTTACTCCCTGTCTGTGCCTTCTGAAAACTGGAATGACTGGCAGACCACATGCCCACCAAGACGTACATGGGTTCTGGGGATAAGAACTCTAGGTCCCAAGCTTGCATCCAGGTACTTTATTCAGAGAGCCACTCCTTGGTCCTGTTATAAAGTTTTGTATTTGTGATTAAAACAGCATAAAAAAGACTAAATGTTTTAATAAGCAGAGAAATTTAGATGTTTCAGGGTTTTCTTGGTTCAAATGATATCTTTACTTGTATAAAATTAACTACTACATTTTCCTTAGGAATCAGTTCAGAAAGGATCCATTATATTAGGAACTAAACCATAGGAGAAGGAAATCTAGAATTCTATGATACTGGGGAAACCTCAGCCAGAGAGTAATATTAAAATCCCCAAAATACTCAACTTTTGGATAAGGAAAGCAAGTTCTGTTCACTTATCTACTGATCTATCTTCCAAATTCACTAATTACTTACTGATTTTTCAAATATACTGTTTAGCCACTCAGAGAACTTTTCATTTCAGTTATTTTATTTTTCAACTCTAGAATTTATATTTTATTTTCATCGCTTTATTGACCTTATCTACTTGATTAATAAGTCATCCAACCTTCCTTTACTCATTCAAGAATGGATTCTTTGGTTCTTTGACATGTTTATTTTTAAAAAATATTTATTTATTCTTTGACAATTTTATATATATATATATATATATATATATATATATATATATATGCAATGTATCTTGAGTCTATACACCCCGAATTTCAATCTCTCATTTAGCCTGTACTCTGGAATATTTCTGATGGATGTTTTGAAGTTTGCGTCTGTCAAAATGATCAGAATAATCATGATTCCCCACACTGGTTTTAGGACATTTAACTATTTATTAATATATCCAATAGAAAGTATCATGTAAAATACATTCTCTAAACATCTTGGGATTGCTTAAGTATTAAGATGACATCCAGTTTTATAATTTGTGCCAACAAAAACTATAGAAACTGACCTGATAGCAAATTTTGGCTGCAACATATTTAACCAAAAGGGGCAGCCCAGAAACTCACTTTGGAATTCGGAAGATTTATTTAACTATAGAATATCTTTAAAGTATTATAACTTGGAGAATCTAAAACAAAGATCTGGATAACTTAAAAACTTACCTGATATAAATAATCTTCAAATACAAAATAGTAATCATCATTGCTTGCTGTCAGCTTCACATCCTGCAATTAAAAGTTACAAAGCACTGAGAATCACTCAAATGAAACTGCCTCTAACTCTAAGGAATAAATGCGACATCTGGAAGTAAGATTCCAATGAATTATATATTTTATGTGATGTTATAGAAATTTTCTGGTAAGATTTTATTTCTATTACATATTTACTCAGCAAAATATGTACTACATTATTTGATTTCTAATTTCTTAAAGTTTCATTAAAACTCCTTAAGATTTATTTCAGTTAATCTCCTCCTAGATGTCTTAAAGCTAGAAAAGAAAAACCAAGAGGGTCACACACTCAGCTACAATTGTAACACTCTCCCTCAGACTAAACTCCATCCTCACCACTCACAGCTAACACACTTAGCCATTCTCTCAAAACATCCCCTATGTGTTTGTCATTGGTCACTTGGAAAATCACCACCTGCTCTTGGGAGGCTAACTGTGACTTTCTGCCCCATGAACTCATTCTTCAGGGATGGTTCATGTCATCTACTGGATAGAATGTTGGTCCTTTCTTTACATACTTCTGTGTGCATTTCCTGTTCTGAGACTACTTAAAAGAATTCTACTCTCCCAAAGAGACTTTTGGCTCTCTCATCTCCAGTGCCTTGTTTTATATACACTTAGCTCCATCACAGGGTCTGACACCTAAGCCATCAAAACATGTGCTTGATGGCTCAATGATGATTAACAGAAACTAATGGCCCAATTGCAGTTCTCTGTGATGTGATGCAATGTATCATTACATAAGTGACCTATCCAGTAGCAACCAACAATAGCTCAAAGAAAAAGCAAAACATCAGCACCCCCCTCAGATTGTCTCTGAACAGGTTTTATGGTGACTTGAGATGTTGATTGTGTACTTCAGGGTGAAAAGCACAAACATTCCACCAGATCTGAGTAAGAGTTTAATTCACTTACATTACTTCTAGCTGCATAACTTTGGCTACACTGCTCCAAATCCAGGCCACTGTGCTTTGATAAATGACCCCCAAAAGCCTGTGTTACCCAGTGAGAGAAGTACAGTTACTGAGAGGTGACTCGAGGAGATATGGACCCTGGTAACTTTCTGTCCCTTTTTTTTTTTTTTTGGACCTTAGCTGCCATGAGGCAAATAGCTTTGCTCTACCTTGACTCTTCCTGAGGTACTGACTTCCCAGACCAAAAAGCACTAGGACTCCATAGTATGAAGTATACAGTAAAGTAAGCCTTTCCTCCTTCAACAATAGTATCTCATATACTGTCACTGTAACAACAGAAAGCTGAGTCTCCATGTCTGTTAATGGGTAGATTACTATGTTATGGGATATTTGTACATTACTATGTTATGGGATATTTGTACACTGTGTGAAGTTGTGTTTGTGTGACTGGTGTAATAAAAAGTTGACTGGCCAATAGCTAGGCAGGAAAATATAGGTGGTATTTCTGGGCAGAGAGAGAACTCTGGGGAGAAGAAAGGTGGCGTCATCAGCTAGATGCAGAGGAAGCATGATGAGAAGTGTGAAGATGAGAAAACGAGCCTCATGGAAAAATGTAGACTAAAAGATATGGGCTAATTTAAGTTATAAGAACTAGTTAGGAGCAAACCTAAGCTATAGCCAAGCTTTTATAATTAATAATAAGTCTCCAGGTCATTTTTTTGCAAGCAGGCAGTCCAAATAAAGAAGTGCTGCATTACTACTTATGTCAAAAGGTATGGGAAGTGCTAAGAACAGCATCAGATTCTGAGACAGTGCTCAGCAAACTCTAAGAGTTGATGAAAGATCCCTTCAGGTATATACTTAGGTAGATAACACTGCACCTTGAAGGTCCTCTACACCCAAAAGATGCAGATACTATTGAACTCACTATATAATCAATTCAACAAGTACTCATTGGTTGATCACTGTTGATAGAGGTTTCTGTCCCACCCAGTCCCACAGCCATTTAGTCCTAAAGAAACACACAGAGACTTACATTAATTATAAACTGGTTGGCCTATTAGCTCAGGCTTCTTATTAACTCTTAATCTTACATTAACCCATAATTCTTGTCTGTGTTAGCCATGTAGCTTGGTACCTTTTATCACTGAGGCATTCTCTCTTGCTTCCTCTGTGTCTGGATGGCAACTGTAGACTGAGCCTTTCCTCTTCCCAGAATTCTCCTGTTCTGGTTACCCTGCCTATACTTCCTGCACAGCTACTGGCCAATCAGTGTTTTATTAAACCAACACAAGTGACAAATCTTTACAGGACACAAGACTATTTTCCCACAACACCCCCATTTGTTTTTTCCAAAACAATCTAATCTTTGTTTAGCTTTTTTTTACTGACCATTATCCATAACAACTTGTAACCAACACTCTAAACAAAGACTTGACAAACTTCTATAATCCATTTTTTTTGGGGGGGGGGGAATGTGGGCATAGTTTTCTAGGCTACTTCCTGCTTATGGGGGAATAAAGAAAATTTAGGATTATGGTCAAGTCCAGACTGGAATATTCTATGAGGCTTGATCATCTCAGCCAGAAGTCTTGAGATTGTTCTAGATGTAGAACTCAGAGGAAATTCCAACAGAGGTCCTCTGAAATGTTAGATCATCTGGGCCATCTGTTCCTACTGGACATTTTTTCAGGGGATCTTCCTTGATCAAACCTGATTTTTCTTCTTAACCCAGAATAAATCCATAGCCTCTCATTTCCTTTATCAGTGGGGCATTCTCATCTTGCTTCCTCTGTGTCTAGGTGATGACTGTAGAATGAGCCTTTCCTCTTCCCAGAATTCTCCTGCTCTGGTCACCCCACCCATACTTCCTGCCTGGCTTCTGGCCAATCAGCATTTTATTAAACCAATACAAGTGACAAATCTTTACAGACTATGAGACAGCAGATAAGGATGATCAGAATGAAGGACACCAAAATCAAAACACAAAGAAAATAAAGACAATGTTTATCTTCAAGAAGTCTACTCTATCAGTCAGAGAGATGGTTCAGTGGTTAAGAGAACTGGTTGCTCTTCCAGAGGTCTTAAGTTCAATTCCAAGTACCCACATGGAGGCTTACAACTGTCTATAACTTAGCCCTATGGCTAACTGTTGCCCTCTTCTGGTGTGCAAATGTACATGCAAACAAAACATCCATATACATAAAAAAATCTACTATATCAATGAAGAGAATAAATATGTAATAAAAATATGGAAAAATCACAATGATGGATTAAAATGATCCATGACTATACAGCTGAAACAGTCTAGAACAATCAGCTAAGCAGCTGAACCAAACAGAACTCAAGGGATGGATGGAATAAGTCATGAATAGCTCTGGAAAAAACCTGAAACTACAGAGCACAGGGAAAGAAATGGATCACTCATCAGAGGTTCCATGGGGAAGGTAAAGCAGTTCCTTCTCAGCAAAGGTGAGACTGACTCTGAGCCAATGGTCTCAGGGGTAACAATGATGTCTTACAGAGAGAGGCTTGTGGAATGCCAAAGCATATCCTCACCCAAGAGATTCTTACTGATTGTCGTTAATTCTTTTTAGAGATTAATTAAGCCTTTTCCTTGGGAATGTGATAAAAAAGAATGAGAAACATTGGTCTAACTGGCAGGCTAGAGTAAACAATAGAACTAGAGGTTACAGCTACAAGGTAGTTGTTGGGGAGGTGAGGAGAAGCCAGTATAGATAAAAGAATCCAAGAGTTCAATTCAGGGAAGAGATTTATTATCCTTTCCCACACATTTCTTGAACCATAATCATTCCAGGGGAAATGTTTATATTTACAGTATAATTCCTGGCACCAACTACTCAATGTATCCCAACTACATTTTTTAGTAGGTACTTATTAAGTTGAGATATACTTGACCACATATTTACAAGATTAAAGAAGTGTTTATTACATAACCACTTAAAGTACAGAACCACTCTTGCAGAAGATTCAAGTTTTCTCACTTCAGACAGCTCACAACCACCTGTAACTCTGGGGCATCTGTTTCATGTGCACACTCCCATATGAAGACACATACACATAATTTAAAATAGCTTTATTACAAAGAAAAATATACAAAAAGTCCTAAATAATTATGAGATAAATAGGATTAAAATATTATAGTCTTGTTTTAATTTTAGTTGTTTTTCCACTTTCTTTGTGTGGAAGACTTGAATTTAAAATGGCCAAATTTTTTTCTCTTCACAAAAACATGAAAGGTCTAGGAAAAGGACATAAGAACAATTCCCTCGGAAAGCAGACAACACTGCCTGCAGACCTCAAGCTTGGGAAACCAGCCTCAACTTCACAGGTGCAATGATCACATCTGTTATTTCCTCCCTCCCTTGCCTTCTTTCCTTCTTTTCTTTCATTTCCTTTTTTTTTCTGACAAGGTCTCATGAAGCCCAGGTTAGTTTCAAACTCACTAAAAATCCAAGCATGACCCTGAACTCCTGGATTTAGGGTACAGGCATCCTGGACATGTACTATCACACAGTCACTCAAACTGATTTCCAAGTTTAATATGTACTTTTGTCCTGCAGGGAAAAAGCTTTTCACTGTAAATGCCACTGATGAAATGGAAAACCATGAATACTTTGACTTACTTTATAAATTAGACTGTCCACCAAAAGGTCATGCTGTATCACATTGGTCTTAAGTTGCTCATAATACAGGATGTCCTGTATTTAAAAGTAAAATATATAAAAATTTAATGTTTATAATGTCATCCTCAAACCTTAATAAACAATAGTCAATAATAAAATTATGGCATTAAGAGGTAGAGACTCTGTTTTATCCATTATCCATCTATTCATTACTATGTAATGATAGTTAAGTAACAGTAGATGTTTAATAATATGCCTATTTTCATCACAGATACTTACTGAGTATTCAATCAATATTTGATAAACTTATTAACTATAATAATGACTATAACATTTATGAACTAGGTACATCTTATGATTACTTTAACAAAGTTAAATAGAACACTGAGAACTATCTCCACCCATATTTGAGGAGCTTAGGTCCAGAGAGCGCACTAACTCACTGTCCAAAGCCATAGACTGGTCATTGTCAGGGTTCAAGGCTTTACAGCTGGGCACAACTACTGTTTGCTTTTCCCCTTCACAGCTTGTGAAGCATCTAGATGTGAATACTAGGAGAGCTGTGTTGGGGGAGGCTGCTTTTTTGTTCCTGGCTGCCCAGACCATAAAATAATCACATAGAAACTATATTATTTGCAATACTGTTTGGCCAATAGCTTAAGCATACTGCTAGCTAGCTTTTACATCTAGTGTTAACCCATTTCCATTATTTTGTATTTTACCATGACATTGGTAGCCTACTGGCAAAGTTCCAGCTGGCAGCTTGCATCTTTCCCCTCGTGCAGCTACATGGCATCTCACTGACTCCATCTTCTTCTTACCAGCATTCAGTTTAGTCTCCCCACCACCTCTCCCACCTTGTTCTATTCTGCCCTATCACAGGCCAAAACAGCTTCTTTATTGATTAACCAATAAAAGCAACACATATACAGAAGGACTTCCCACACCAGAGCTGGTCCTTGGTAGAAGGCTTCTAGGTCAGCCCTGGTTCAATTCCTTTAAGACTTGCACACCACAGCTTCAAAGTCACTTCCCTATCAATGGAGACTCAGGCTGTCTCTAAGTAGCTTGTCCCTGTGCACAAGCTGCAGTAAATCCCCCTCCTGCACTATGCTGCTCTGTCTTTGGATAAACAGGCAAAGTGGAGCTCTAGGGTGAAAACTATACACACCTTCTGTCAACATACGGACTGCCCGACTACTCTTCAAGAACAATACCTCCATTTAGAGTGGCTCCCAGGAGCCCATGGTGATGTCCCAGTTAGTCCCTTGGGCAGCTGAGGACAGGCAACCTGAAATGACCCTATCCTATAGCAATACTGACGAATATCTTGCATACCACCATAGAACCTTCATCTGGTGATGGATGGAGATAGAGACAGAGACCCACACTGGAGCACTGGACTGAGCTTCCAAGGTCCCAATGAGGAGCGGAAGGAGGGAGAAGATGAGCAAGGAAGTCGGGACCACGAGGGGTGCACCCACCCACTGAGACAAGGGGGCTGATCTATTGGGAGCTTACCAAGGCCAGCTGGACTGTGACTGAAAAAGCATGGGATAAAACTGGACTCTCTGAACATGGCAAACAATGAGGGCTGATGAGAAGCCAAGGACAATGGCACGGGGTTTTGACCCTACTTCATGTTCTGGCTTTGTGGGAGCCTAGCCAGTTTGGTTGTTCACCTTCCTAGACATGGACGGAGGGGGGCGGACCTTGGACTTTCCACAGGGCAGGGAACCCTGACTGCTCTATGGACTGGAGAGGGAGGGGGAGAGGAGTTTGGGGGAGGGAGAGAAGGGTGGGAGGAGGGGGAGGGAAATGGGAGGCTGGGAGGAGGCGGATACTTTTTTTCCTTTTCTCAATAAAAAAAACCACCTATGAGTGAGTAAAAAAAAAAAAAGAACAATACCAATTCAAAGTCCCCCAGAAAAATGAGGTAACATTTAATCTACACCTCTACCTCTATAAACTCTGCATTAATGAGAAATGATATTGCATTGGTGTGTTCATTTGCACTTTTTTCAATCAACAACCTGAAGATCCTCCCCTCTGCTTCCTGGCCTTAGATTTCCATAGCAGGGATTCGCCCTTCACAGGATCATCTGTCTGTCCATTCGGTGGTCTTTCTCTCTAATGTGTCAGTCTCTTCATTAAGAAGGAGAATCAACCTTCTGTCATTGTGTTGTAAGCACTTTCCTTCAAAATAACATGTTTTTTTGAATTTTTTGGTAAACACTGACAATTCCTTAGATGTTCTTTATGGTTTTGGGTTTCCTTGCATTAGGAAAGGCTTTCACACCACATGTTCATACAAATCATTTTTGAAAGTTGCTAATTTTTCACTCAAATATCTGTATATTTCCTGGAACTTATTATTGTGCCTTGTATCAAAAGGTCACAGCTAATTATCAGCACCAGCATTTTCCACTAAAGTAAAAGTTACAGAGCAAGGGCTACTCACTAATTCGCTACTCCGCTTTCTTTAATAATGATTTGGTTATTCCTAGACACTTAACCTCCATAAAAACCGTAAGGTGACTCATCTGGTTAAAAATAAAAGAGATTTTACCAATTTTTTTTTTAAGGAAAAAGTGCTATTTTATGATGTTAAGGCATCCCATCCAAGAATACAATGGAGATCTCTATCGTTTAAGACAAATCTATAATCTTTTGTGGGCTCCAGAGAAAGCAAGCAGCACTTTGTTGTGAGGGAAAATGGATATATAGCATAAGCTCAGAGTGGGGCCTGGCAGGTTTCCTGGGGGTCAGATTTTACTGCTGTCTTGTGTGTGCACTGTTTTCCTCGTGTGCACTGTTTTCCTCGTGTGCACTGTTTTCCTCGTGTGCGCTCCAAGGCTCTCCACATTAAACTTTTTCATGTTCCTGCTATAATAAACCAGGTGTGTCTCACTTCTGTATTTCAAGTTGATAATATGGATAAAAGCTACTGATTTTTAAATATTTTTATAGAATATCCTACTAAAACATTTTAATTATAGTATTTTCTTTTTTGTTTTCTAGGTACTTAACCATGGTCTTAATACATGTGACTATTATATACACCCAGAATATGACTGTGTGTCTTCTTCCTCCAATCATAAACCAGTTCATATCCCTATCTTACAACATTGGTTAGATCCTTAGAAATGGTGCTCCATAAATAGTGGTACTATTGCAGCCTCGTGCTGATTCCAGCAAGAAGAATGTGAGAACCACTGTTCAGCTTGTACTCAGATTGCTTGTAGGAAAAAGTCTTAAGTTTGAGTTACTTTCAAGATTTGATTTGAAATGGCTGTTGGGTTTAATCTGGCCCATATGGCACCTACTGTGACTTTCCTCTGTTAGCATGCAGATTATGTGATGGGAGGCCCTGCAGCTGTGCCACCCGGTACTCAGTGCCCTGCCAGTGTGAATTCAGTTGACCCAAGCTGGACAGGACAGGCTGTCTTTTCCCTTCCCTGACCATCTACAGTGTATGTGTAGCCTGAGGGGGACAGTTCTGCAAATTATTAGTGAGATATTGTATTAAGCTACATTTTATCCTAGCACTTTTATATCTCTCATATAAAGCAGAGATAAACACAGTTCTGGTAACATCTGAGAAAATAGTGCTTTAGAAAAGGCTCAGTGAGTTTACACTATTAATTTTTATTTTGTTCTTTAAAACTTTTTGCTCATATGTATGCTGACATATAAACAAATGAAATCAAATAAATTATGGGAATTATTTCTATGGGTAATATACACTGAAAAGATTTACCTGTATTTATAACTTCTGAATTATAAATGCTCAGAGAATTTTACTTTAATTGCTATGCCCAACAATACTTAGTTGCAAATGTACTTGTGAAGGGGGAGAGTCTTCTGTTTTGTGTTGATTTTATTGGTTAAATAAAGGAACTGCCCTTGGCCCTTTAATAGGACAGAAAATTAGGTAGGCAGAGTAGACTGAACAGAATTTTGGGAAAAAGAAAGCCGAGTCAGGCAGTCGCCATGATTCTCCCACCCAACACAGATGCAGGTTAAGAATCTCCCTGGTAAGCCACCAGCTCGTGATGCTACACAGATTACTAGAAATAGGCTAATCAAGATGTGAGAATTAGCCAATAAGAGGCTGGAACTAATGGGCCAGACAGTGTTTAAAAGAATACAGTTTCCGTGTAATTATTTTGGGTAAAGCTAGCCGTGCAGGAGCCAGATGGCGGGAAGTAGCCCACTGCTCATTATTACTACAGACTTGTAATGCTTTTTTGTAATGCTTTTTATTATCAACTAATTACATGCTTTTCTTGGCTATTGCTAGAAAAGTAATAAATATCTTAATAAGAGTAATCATTAAAATACTAATTTTAGGATCAGATATTTTTATAAAGAAATACATCAAATGTGTTTAATAAAATTTTAATCACAAAGCAAAATTTTACTGGGCCCAATTATTCAAAATAGGCAACAATCTCATAAATATAATTACAGAGTAATCCCGTGAACTAATAGAGCTGGCTAAAGTTCAGACAAAGTAATAAAATATTATGCAACAAATAGAAAATGCTGGGTGGCCAAGTGAAAGCAAGGTCATGCTGGTTCAGAAACTCATCTGTCCATAAAATTTCAAAATTACAGGCAAAATATAGCAAAAATGCTTCAGAAAACAAGTTCACATTCTTTCAGTATTTAGTCAAAATATACTGGCTTCTTCTAATAAGCAAATTAAGAAGTATCTGTAGCCTTCATAAAATGAGAGCAGTGGCACCTTCAAATTGACTTCAGTACCAACGAGCACACAAAATAAGTCATAGCAATCTATTAATACTGGTATGCACCAAAGCTTCTGTGTACACAAGAAATAATTACACAGATAAATGTTTTTGTACTTTGCTTTTAATTATATTTTACATGTCATCTTACTCAGCTAAACACATGTTTAATTAACCTTTACTATATTTTATTTAAAGTGGTTTGGACATTTAATATTCTCTCTCTTGGATATAGAGCTATGGGAAGAATCTAGACAGATAAGTTATCATACGTCACAAAACTGTAAGTTAAGAATTTTTTTAAAAATCATGCTTCTGAGTGTTTTCCTTGCACTTAGCTGTGTACAACCTGTGTACCACGGGGGCCAAACAAGGTATTGGACCACTTGGGACTGGGGTCACGGGTGGTTTTGTGAGCCACTGTGTGGGCTCTGGGAATCAAACTTGGATCCTCTGGGAGAGCAGCCAATGCTTTTGGCTGCTGAGCCATCTCTCCAAACCCAAAACTATTTTGTAAATCATGTGATTTAGGCACAAGTTCAGAGAAATTTCTCGGAAGATGAGGTAAGCTACCCAATTCTAGAATTACCATTGTGCATTGTGCATTATTTTCATGTAGACCATCATAAACATTATAATCCATCATTTATTCAAAATTAAGTATTCAGTAGTAAATTAAAGGTAGGTGCTATTTTCCACACTAATATAGTTCCTCAAGATTAAAAACATCTACTGAACCAGTTTTAAGGCTGTCAGCTGCCTCGGAGCAATAGGAGAGGTAGAGCTCTCCCATGATCTCTGAGAAGCCCTAATCTCCCATGAAAATAGAAAAAAAATAGAAAAAGGTAAATTAAAATGAAGATCTAGATTATTCCAAGGACAAAATAGGCAACTGTATTAAGTAAGTGCAGCAGCAATAAGAATTAAAGTATGTGCCCTGCTCCTTGGTGACCTGGGTAGGGCATTTGCTGCTGTGCAGTGGGGACATAGACTGGACTACAGCAGACTGAGTAATTTATTAAAGAAAGCAATGCATCCTATTAGTTAATGTAAGTCATTAATAAAATTCAGTATAGCACAGACTTTTAACATGCAGCTTTGAAAGGAAAGAGGAACAGGGAAGCAGCTAGAAAAGACACAGAATCTATAACTTATTTTTAGAAAAAGAGGATGTGAACTGGGAGCTCTAGGCTCAAACCTGCAGGGCTATGCCGAGGGATGGCTGCTCTGAGACACAACTCCTTCGACAATGGTGTTTGCTTATCTCACTTGGACAACATTCTCTACGAAAGATTTGATGGCCAAAATAATAGCCATACTAATTCTCCATGAATATGTCTACCCATAGACGTCTCAAAGATTAAGTTGGGGTTCAGAATGATGGCTCAGCACATAGGAGCACTGACTACTCTTCCAGAGCACTCTGGTTCAATCACCAGCTGTAAACTCTGGTGCCAGGGGATCCAGTGCTTTCTTTTGCCGTTGGAGGGCACTACATGCACGTGGTGCACAGACATACGTTCAGGCAAAACACCAATTCACACACAATTTTTTAAAAATAATAAAAAGTTTTAAACTAAATTAGGATCCAGTAATTTAGCATATATTTCCTGATCATCTTTTATGTGCTAGGTAGGATTTTTTCTTTGGCCACAGCACTCAGAGCAGACGGTCCTAAGGAAATATTTGTTGATCAGATAACTAGTGAGAAAGTTCTAATGTCAGTGCGGGTTTAGGCAGGCTTTCTGGAGAAAGGGACAGAACAGACTTGGAGTACATCAGTAATAAGGGGAGATCTTGTTTATTTGTTTGTTTGTTTGGCACATGGGACATATGCAAAGATAGGAGAGAAACAAGGTGTGTTAAGGAATCTTAAAGAAAAGTTTTAAAATGTTTTAAGCAAAGGGGCAGTGGTGGCGCACACCTTTAATCCCCAAACTAGGGAGCCAGAGGCAGGCGGATCTCTGAGTTTGTGTCCAATCTTGTCTACAGACTGAGTTCCAGGGCAGCCAGTGCTACAGACACCCTGTCTGAAAAAAACAAAGTCTGTGTGGGCAGATGTTAATATTAGAGAAAGGGTGTTTGAAAGCATTTGTAGGGAACAAGGGTGCATGCTGGAAGTCAGACTGAATCCAGGCACAAGAAGATAATACTGTAAAATGGAATGGCAGAAATATGTACAGAGAGAAATACATGAATTTCAAACAAATGGAGGAACTGAGTCAAGATGGAATTAGAGATGAATACGGTATGAGATTCATGTAGACAGAAAAGAATGGGATGAACCTTGCATCCAGGGCACTGTGATGGACAGTGGTACAAAATAAACAACGACTTCATGATTGCTCAGAAGATATTCATGTGCATCAGTCCACTGGGCACCCATCTGAACCTCAAGAAAGAGACCTGACAAGACTATCACTCTGAGGTAACTGTAACTGGAGCCACAAGAATTAAGGAGGGTTACTAAATGTATAAATGAGAAGAGACAGAACACTAAAAACTTAAAACCCACATGGAGAGGGGAGTTCAGAGACGGAGAACCCTCCCTAGCAAGTATGAAATACTGGGTTTGGTACCCAACACCCGCAACATATACATCACTAAAGAAAGCCTCACATAAGTATCCGTTGTTTCATCGGTGAACAAAATATTGAACAGTTTTTGTTTTTAGTTAGCAAACTGATATCAAGCATATTTAAAAATATAAATAACATTTGCTAAATACATTTTTGGCTCACACAGAGAGGTGTAGAAAATGAGCGTATAAAAGCAACCCTTTGAAACATATCACCTATTTTCTTAAAAAGAAAAGTCGAAGTTAAATACTTTCCTATTGAACATACCATATTAACCAGCAGGAATGCAAAGTATTGTGTTCAAAGTTTTTTGCAGTAAAAAGAAAAAAATAAATATCTCAATAAAATTTTATCTTAGAATAGCTTTCATTTCCTGGAAACATTCAAAGACAGAACAATGACCTCAGCAAACGTTTAAACAATAGATTTGGAGGAGCAAATTTGAATGTCTGCTTATGTGTCCAAAGTTTCAACTATGACTGCAACTAGATACGTAGTTTAAATGACAGACAATTCATTCAGCAAAAAGGATTTCCCCTTCCTTCCCCACCCCGCCCTCAAGGCTTCACCTGTAAGAGTGACTTCGAAACTTCTGTACTCACTGTTTTTCTGAAAATACTAATTTCTAATTATAAATATTAGATAGATTTTGCATTTAAGTTTACATTTTTAAATGGCTACAATTTCAAAATTTAAATGTAAAAATCATGTTGGAATACTGCCCAAAACAATCATTGTCTGTCATTATTAAGGTGATATTTTTTGAAAAATTCTAAATTTGGTGTGAAAGGTAGCAATTCCTTTGCACACAGAAGAGAATTTGTCTAACTCCATAGCAGTGAGGGCAGTGTGTTACTTGGAAACTTAAATCCAAAGAATTATGTTTTCTAGAAGATCAAACAAACAGGAAAAAAATATGCTTTGTAAACAATTATCTCCAAATTGTTTCCAAAAGATAGCAATATCTCTCATGCTAAAAATTTGTTCTACTGTAAATCACAAGCTTCATTCTTTCAAATAGAAGATGACATTAGTGCTGTTCAGAGGGAGACTTAAGACACACATCATACACATATAAACAGATACACTACACATAACTTGCAAAGGTTAGAAATGTAGTTTTTATAACAGACAGTAATGTTTTAGTTTGTTATCTGAATTATAAATCACAACTGATTTGTAACATAATTATAGATAATACTAATTTTTATGACTACTGCCATTAGTGGCAGACATTTGTGTCCATTATTATATAATATTCTATATAATATAATATAATGTTACTTTTTGTATATTTGTCACAATTCTGTGATATAAATACTATTACCTATATTTATGTACCGTTATCTGAGGCTTGAAGAAATGTAAGCAATTTGCTCAGTGATATGTGTTCAGTAAGTTGAGGCAACTCTGAGTTTAAACCGGGTTTATTTAATCATAGAACCTGTTACACTGCTAGTGTGCCAACGATTAAAAATCTCTAAATGGGTGAATTTACAACTACATACAGTCACTGCATCTAGATAACTCCATATGCACACACAGTGAGAATATTGCAGGAGAAGCCACTGTCTTACACAGGTTTTCATTACTAAATTTATGACCCAGGCTGGGGATAAAATTCAGTTGGTAGAGTGCTTGCTTTGCATACCTGAAGCTCTAGGCTCCATCCCCAACATCAGAAAACAAAAAAACACATGGTCTGTCTGTTAGAGGTTTGGGCACTTCCTTTAGTATTCATTGCATTTCCTGAAAAAATGATCATCTATTTGGATAATATTCCCACATCATGTCAAAGTTTAGAACTACAGGGATAGCACATACTTCAAAGGAAATCATAAATCCAAGTGGGGCTGTGCATGCCTACAATCCCACCACTTTCAGACGTAGAGACAAGAGCATCAGGAGTTCAGGGCCAGCCTCAGCTACCTAAATGAGTTTTAAAGTAACATGGATACATGAATGCCTACCTCAAAAAAAAAAAAAAATCAAAATCCACAAAAAATTCACTTACTCATTGGCAGTAGCTCTTCTTCGTTACTTGCTATCATAACATCCCAATCTGTCACATTTTTGCTGATCTGAGTTCTTAAGATTTTACTTCTAGCTCTACCACAAATACACATGATCACACTACTTAAAGGTGTTTGCTGAGCACACTGATTAAATTCAGTGTTACATCCTTCCTTACCTTAACACAACAATGAGGGTGGAATGAAAAGCAGGGTGAATAGCAAACTAGTTACTGGCTTGGAAAAACTGGTAGTTCTCAAACAAACTCCAACAACTCAAATCTGGTCCCTCCTGTTTGCTTCTTACCTCAGGCTGACTGGAAATATTCAAAATGAGCGCCCAGAGCTCAGCTCTCAGTGCCGTGGGACTCCCTTGTCGGATGTACTGCTGGGCAGCGGCGCTATCCTGCTGCACCAGAACTGTCAAATGAACAGGATACCCCTGTTAGGATTCCCACTGCCAGGAGCATCTCAGGATGGCTATGACCTCAGCCTCGGGAAGGGACACAACTGCATCTATCTTTTTCTCCCGTCACTCTCTGCGTTCTGGGGTGGCCCCGCTACAGCCGGAAGGAGTCTAGATCTCCCTAGCTCCTCCTCGGCCTGCCCAGAGCCTCAGTGCTTTCCCACAGCTCCATACATCTACAAGGACTCCTGAGCCTAGTGTCTGGCTTCTGTGACCAAGCAGAGCCTCATCCTCAGAACCCATGATTTCCATAAACATGCTACCAAGTCACGGAGCTTCTGGTATGTGAAAGCGGCACTGAGACATACTATGGACCCAATCTTTATCCAACAGCATCATTTTTTTTTTTTGTTTCCTCTTAAAGGGAAGAGGAAATTTTCTACTAAATGAAAAAGACATGATGAAAAGAAACAAAAAGGGCATAATTTTTAAAAGGACATTCTTTATCTGAATGTTTAATGAAAGAGGCCAAGCCTACAAAAATGGTCTTTGAAATTAAGATGACTTTGAAAAACTGAAGTACATGACAATAACTGTCACTGATGGTTCGGTCTGACACACAGCCTTCTTTGTACCTCAAAGACAGTAAAGGATTGATAGAAACAAGAAAAAGAGTGCCCAAAAGATGAGCAATTGTTCCCCAGGATATGGAGACCCGCTACGCTTATTAAGCCTTATCATTGTGAGCTGTCAGTGGGATTTAAGAGCTCCATCCTCTCCTGATGTAGGAGCGTGCCCTCATTAGCGCTAATGAGAGGTGTGTGGATGCATTAAACAGGAAGCTGCCTGCTTGATTGTGAGATGAAATTCTGCTCTTGAGTGCTCACTCTCATGCATTTCCTGTTCAGGAACCAGCTGTGTGCTTAATTTACACTGACTAAGGCAGCTAATACGCTGCCTTCGCTTCTAAATCAAGATTCCTGTTAGATTACCTGCTCGGGTAAATATTATGACTCTCCCGTGTTTCACTTTACAGAGAATAAATTTCAGCCGAGGCTCTGTCACGGGGACAGTCACCTAGAGCGGTCTCATTTTTATACAACTTAATGAACCTGATTGAACTTACCTTTTTGCCCAATACGTACATGCTCATTTTCAAAAAGTTCTAAAAATATTAAAAGAAATAAGATTATTATACACACACACATGATCAACTACATTTAGAGTAAGAAGTATTTTTCCCCAGTGCTGATACTTTAGTTATTTTTAAAGTTGGATAACTATCATAGAACACATAAGAACTTGTTTGTTTATGGCTGAATCTTGCTGCTCAGGCTGGTCGTAATCTCATTAAGTAGACTGGGGTGGTCTCCAGCTCACAACCCTGCGGCCTCAGCCTTCTGAGTTAAAGGCACCACTACCACACACTACCACTCTGCTCTGAAAACTGGAATGTGCAACCTAAATGAAGAAAGCCTTCACCTAGGCAGCTAAAAGAGAGTTCACACTCTGAACTGGGGAACAAAAATGGACATAGTAAGTTTTCTTTTGATAAATGGAATATATTCTTATACAAAAATATTTCTATACATTTAGAAAAATTCAAAGAAAGATTGTTTTTAACATCATTCCAGTGGCTGGAGAGATGGCTCAGAGCTGTTGCTGCTCACCGGAGAGGACCTGAGACCTGCTCACAGAACCCGTGTTGGCTGCTCCCAACCACCTGCAGACTCCAGCTCCAAGGGAGTTAGCACCTGCCTCTGGTTCTGTGGGCACCCTCACACACACAGTCACACAATTATACAGACACATACATACAGAAGTGTGTGCACCCACACACTACATAAATAATGCAAAATAGTTGATAAAGAAAAATTCTTTGAATTAAAAACTTTAACAACCTTGTTAGCACTTCATGTATCAAGTTCAATTCCACTCCCGCTGCGCATCAAGGTCTAACACAGCCTGTCTCTTGTATGTAGAAGCCCTGCCTCGTGAATGCTGGTTAAGAACTTCCACTGGAACAGCTCCTTTTTAAAAAGTGTCAATCATAGTGCAAACAGACTCATTAACTATGACATATTAAATTCTGTTCACAGAAAAATGAAAGAATACCATCAAGGGAGTTTTGACAAGGTAAGTCTCTAAAGTATTTGTAGTGTATGTGTGTGTGGCGGAGGGCTTATATCCAGAATTTATAAAGACAGTCTTACAGAGAAAGGCACTTGCCAGACACAAAAGGCCAAGAGTTTGAGAAGCTTCTTTATCAACAATCAATTAACGAGGAAACATAAAAAAGCTGCTTGACCACATTAGTCATCAAAAAAAAATTAGAACCAATATAAAAAATGGAGCCACTGCAGTGGTAAAAACAAACAAACAAAAAAACCAACTGTTTTTTGTTTTTTTTTCAAAGCAGGGTTTCTCTGTAGCTTTGGAACCTGTCCTGGAACTAACTCTTGTAGACCAGGTAGGCCTCAAATTTATAGAGATCCACCTGCCTCTGCCTCCCGAGTGCTGGGATTAAGGGCATGCGCCACCACCGCCCGGCTAAGACTGGAAATTTTAAATGAAGAAAAGTATGGACCAAATGAACATCTCTTACAAAGTTGATGAGAGTGTAAGCTGGCATGGTGACTTTGAAAAACTAGCAGTGTCTACTGACATGCGTGTGCACATGATTCACTCTCAGGGGTATGCCCTGAGATGTACAACATCAAATGGCCTGCAAACCAGATGGTGGGAATAATTCAAATGGCCATCAACATCAGACAAGCTAGACAGTAGACAGCAGTATTTACATCTGGTGGACCATAATACAAAATTTGAGAAATAATAATTTTTCTCCATAACACTATGTATTTTATAGATAATAGTAAGCTGAAGAAACCAGATACAAGTGGGTGCAGCTAATAATTTCAAACATGTCACCCTATGGTGACAGGATCGCTGTTACTCTGGGGATGGCAGAGACCTGTGCCTGGGGGGGCGGGTCCTAAGCTATTGTAATATGCTGTTTCTCGATTGGGTTGCACGGTGTGTCCACTTTGTAAACCACTGCTCTGCATACGGACGACTTGCGTACTTGGAGGCTATCACTTGCCACTAATTAAATGTCACATGGGAAATACTAACCAGGAGGCACTTGTGTAGAATCATCTATACCCAGTTGTCCTGTGGTTAAGCCAAGTTCTACAAAGCATTCTTTCTGAAAAATAACATGAAGAATTAGCACACATCTCAGACTCTGGTGTGTGAGAAAAGGTTAACAAGTAAAAAAACTCCCATGTAAAATGAATCTCTGTTTCACTCAAATACTAAACTCTAAAAGAACAGTAACAGACTCTAGGCAGTGGGAGCAGAATGAGCCCAGCTGAGCACTGCACAGGTGGTGCTGCATCATTTTCATGGGAAATGAACATGACTACAAGAGTCATAGCATTTAGGGAAACAGTAGACACAATGAAAAAAGAAACTTAAACATACAGTATTTTTTCCAGTTCAGGGGCTTTGGTAATATTTTCTTTATCACTTTTTCCTTTCTAAATATTTTTACTTTGAACGCTTAGTAATATGAATACTGGTACTGTCTTCTTCAAATATTTTTCCTTCATTTTTCCTCATTAGGTAACACACAAATCAGCATAGTAAGAGACGATACTGATCCTTCTGGGTGAAGGCATAGTGATGCTCCAACCTTTCCTAAAGAAGGCAAGCAAGCATATGCACACAGCCCCCCAAGCACGCACGCACAAGTGTGCACACAGAGCCACTCACTCACTCATCACACTTAGCAATTCTATTTAACATTGTCCAAAATTACCAACATAAACTTCTGAGCTTTCTATGATTTGGCATCTTACTCTGATGATAAGAAGCCAAACCACAAATATCCAAAACAAGTTCATTTTTGAGCAAAACAACTATTAAGTGCTCAGCTAAAATAAGAATGAATTAGAATTATTCATAATAGCTTCTTTCACTTATCTAGCAATGTCCTAGGACAATAATCACATCTGTATTTTGTAAGGATAGAAAACCCCATGTTAATCATATTATTTTATTCTACAAGTAATTAAATATTTCTATTAATAGTTGCTTCAGTGCTTTATAACTATTCTGACTGGTAAGCCATACTTCAGTCTCCTTTAAAATTGAGCTAATTTTAATTTTTCCAGATTTTATCTGATAGTTTCATGATTCTTCCATTCAACCACTGTCTTCCATGTACTCTGACTTTTCCTTCACTGAATCATTACTGTTAATGATTGTGCATCTCAGTTTAAAAATAGCATTTATCTGGATACTAAAGCACAAACCTATGGCAATAAACACTTGAGTACTGGGTTCTGTAGTCACGATGAAGCGTTTACTTAGGACATGTGAGATCTGGGTGTCCACTTTCCATGTCATCGCTCTGGACTATTTTTCACTCAACATTAGCAAATAATCAGATTCCCATCAAAACTGACCATAGGGAATGTGCTTCCTTAGAAACCTTCCTTACTGTTCCAGGCTGGCAAAAGGAATTCTCAAAACATTATCTTTTCTCAGCCTTTATCTAGACTAGACTAGACTAGAGCTTGTCCTTTTCCTGTCTGTCCATCCCTCTACTAGCCTGTAGCACTTTGAGGATGAGAACTGTCTCTTAGTACTGAGCTCCCCAGTACTTATCAGAGCACCTGGCCCAGCAAATACTGAGCACCAGTGTCTAGTCCCATCTGGCTGCTCCAATAAATTAGTCACCAGCTCTCTTTAGAGATAGTAGATCTCCATTTCTAGAAATTTCCTTGTAATGTGGAAGAGTACATAATCCAGGAATTCGGAGTCAGAATCACCCTGACCCAGTCAAAGGATGGCAGGGACTCGTCCTAATGACTACACATGAGGAGTAACCATACCCTGAATGCTACCACACGGACCTGGCAGGCAAGACGCGCCCCACTGGTGCAATAGAGTGTGACTGCTAGGCTGTAACGAACCACTCTCTGATGGAACTTGAGGGCCTGTTCCACAGAGGGACTGTCATGCCTGATGCTACAACCCTTGTCAGAATCCATGACTGGGAGATCAGAGGCCACAGGGTAGAACCTGCAATTGTTATTTTCCCAACAAATACTATTCTAACCATAGAAAAGGAGAATTTCTAGAAATGTCAATGAAGAGAAAAAACGAGAAGGGAAAGGACTCTCCCGACACCCGAAACATACCAACCCAAGACTGGAGCCGGAGCTCGAGACTACCGGACACCAGGGCTGGAGCACTGGCATGCTTGCTGTTCTCTGCTTGTGTCACTGTATAAATCCAAACTACGGGGCCAAGCCAGGGCCTGTTCTATAACACCCACTAGTGGTCCTCCTGTAAATTCAGTCTCATTCTCTGTCCCTGTGCCCCTCTTTCTCGTCTCTGAACTCATTGCCTCATGCTCTCAAACTGCAGCAGTTTAAATATCTGGGAACTTTAATCATCACTCCAGTCTGGGAAAAAAGCAAGAAAAACGTGATTGGAAGCAATGCAGCAAAGACGTCCCCAGAGTGTGGTGGGCCACTCTCTTAGACAACTCCTTAGCCAGGCAATTGTGCTGTATATAAGGGTTCTCCAAACCTTCACCAGCTTTTCTGGTGCCCTAGAGTAGGTGGAGGGCCGAAAAGCATAGCAGCAGGGATAAGAGTAGCAGTCTCACTATTCCAGAAACTTCACTTGATCCCTGTGTGAATGGCGTCTCTCTTCCTTCTGCACATCAGAGGTTTGACTCTGGAGTGGGCAGGAGCTCTGCGAGACAGTCCTTCACAGAGCCTCCACTCTCAACCCTATGGGTTGCCTTGGCAAGTACCCATGGTATCTCTGACCCTTGAGCCTTCCCAAGATTCTACAAAGAGAACCATTTGCTTCTTTTGTCAGTCAATATCTACTGAAGAAAGAAAAGGCATGCCACAGATGTCAAGAGGAAAAAACAGGAGTGGTAAACGCAGAAAGCAACCATGGCTTCTAGGAGCATGAACTAAACATAAGTAAGAATTAGAAAAGTGTCCTCCAGTGCTCAAGGCCATGATCAAGACCAGGGTGGAAAAAAAAAAAACTGCCAAGAAGAGCAGGCCGGAGCTGGGCCGTGGACAACATTATTATACATGGGACCAGAAGGGACACAATTTTCTCCTGCTGACACCTTTCAAGTGTCCCTCCAAAATCATCTTTCTAGTGACAAATAACAGGAGGCCTGCCGGCAAACGGAGAATAGTCCAGATCTAGCTGGATGCAGCAGATCGCAGAATGGAAGACATGGAGTCCACTGACGCGGACAGAGTGGTGCGCACGCACCTCTCACCCACACTTCCCGTCTGGTCTGACTTCTCCGGCTTTAGGTTACTTATCACGACCTCTGCATCTTTAAAGTTCAGAGTGTCACCACAGACATGCCGACAGCGCTGCGTCCTTAATTGTTTTGGAATGAGTGGCAGAAGGAGTGATGACAACATAGCTCTGCCATCAGGAAATCTCAAAATTAATTTTAAAAACTAATACCTCCCCAAAAAGATGGGTTTCTGAGCAAATTCAGTTTCTCTTAGTGTCTCACCATGTTCTGGGTTCCAGGAAAGTTGATTAAATTAAATAGCATGTGCTTTCTTAAATATCCTTCGATAAACCTTATATTTGTTCCAATTTACAGTTACACATCAGACACCTGAGACCCAGCAAACTCCCTCATAAAAATTTGCTCTTTATTGAAGTAATGGGCAAAGCATTTATAGGTCAATGTAAGCTTGCTTTGGCTTACAGCAAACTTGCTCTTTCTATGTGCATGTTTCCAGCTAAAAGCTATCAAATTAGTAATTGGCTAATATGTCCATGACTTCTTACAACAGATATATGCGCATCAAAATATTTTTCTAGTGGTTATTAGAACATTAATTTATTCTTCAATGTCAATACTTACCAATTCAGGGATGTCTTTTACTTTCAGAGGAACTTGGATTAAACCCAAATGAGTCCTAAAACTAAGAGAATCACCATTTTCATAATTTGGGTTGCGGAGATTAATTAATACCTTTAAAAGTAAACAACAAGCCTGGTTAGTATTTTGTATAGGTTTGCCCTTGCCAAACATGGTAATTCTTGTTGTAAAGCCATAGGGTAAAAAGCCACTTTGGGTCATGCACAGCCTTCAACTACACCCATCATATTTGCATATCTGTCCCCCAGAGCATACCTCAAGAAAGTCCTTAGGAGCATAAACAGGCCGAAAAAGGCTTAAATCTGGGATGAGTTAGAGTAAAACAAAATTTCAGTTAATACATGAGATGAACAATAAATATTAATGTCACTTTACTGTGTTTCTATAGAGGTGAAGCACATATGTATTAAGTATTGATTATTTGTTGTACAATGTGTGAAACACTGGGAACACAGAAATAAAAACACAGTCCTTGACAACTTAAACAACATATTATAGAAAATCTTAAGAGTTTCATATAAAGATTCTGTATGAGAATTTTCAAAGTATTTAGAATACTAATAATGCATTCGCAGTGAATCCATCCGCTTGTGTCTAACTTCCCTGATTTCAGGTGCAACACTTCCTATCATAGGAAATGTTTGTCTGGCTCACAGACTAGCTTGAGCAGAGGGGGCCACAAGACGTGGGCAGTCATGTATACATCTGTCCACGTAATTATAGGCATCTACAACACACAGTTGTTATTCATTATATAGTTCTAAATCTGGTTATATATTAAATTTAAAGTGAGACAAAATACAATTTAAAACCATTTTAATTCTTGACATTTACTTTTCATTGGTCAATTTCCTTAGCATCTCACCAAATTAACCTTACAGAATTTCTACTTTCACTAAATGACAAGTCTCAGGAAGCTATTGAATGAATTTTATTTGCCTGTTGTTTTTAATTTCAGCATTTATTAATTGCACAAACTGATGGACTTCGTTATGACGTTCCATGCATGGGAACAGCATATTCTCATTACTTCAATCCCCTGTCACTATCCCTGTCCCCACTGTCCCAATCTCTCTAGCTCCAAGCCCTCCTTCTGCTTTCATGTATGATCTCTATTGTCTTTTCTCTTTAATTATTATTGTTACATGCATACATACATATAAATCTATAAACACAACCAAGCAAGTCCATTTAGTGTTGCTGATAAGCGTGTTAGGGCAGAATACTTGATATTAGATAACTGCTCGGGGCACCCCTAGGGAAGGCCAGTTTTCCCTGTCTCTTAGCAGATCTTAACATCTTAGCATCCCTAGGGAAGGCCAGTTTTCCCTGTCTCTTAGCAGATCTTAACATCTTAGCATCCCTACGGAAGGCCAGTTTTCCCTGTCTCTTAGCAGATCTTAACATCTTAGCATCCCTACGGAAGGCCAGTTTTCCCTGTCTCTTAGCAGATCTTAACATCTTAGCATCCCTACGGAAGGCCAGTTTTCCCTGTCTCTTAGCAGATCTTAACATCTTAGCATCCCTAGGGAAGGCCAGTTTTCCCTGTCCCTTAGCAGATCTTAACATCTTAGCATCCCTAGGGAAGGCCAGTTTTCCCTGTCTCTTAGCAGATCATAACCGTCTACAGTCCTTTCTTTAGGAGTGGGGTCTTCATGAGATTTTCCCCATCCATGTTGGCATAGCAACTAGTGTTGTCCTTGTTCAGGTCTTATTTAGGCCACCCTGCCGTGTTCTTGTTATTTCATGGGTACAGCTTCCCTAGCCTACATAGAAGATATAATCTCACAGCAGATCTCCTGGCCCTCTGTCTTTTACAATCTTTCCCCCAGTTGATAAATCTACTAACAAAACTGCTACACCTAAGGGAACATCATAGAAGAGGAGATAAAAAGATTATATATGTTTTTAATAAAAATGTTTTAAAATGATATTTGAAAAAAACAAAAAGTGATTTAATGTTGGCTAAACAACAGAAAACACAGCCTAAAGTTGAGAATTCTTAAGCTGCAAACTAGAAACCAACAAATCAGACAGCGGGGAATTAGTGGAGCTGGAAGCAGTACTTATTTCAGTCAAAAGACAAATCCTGTAGGCAGTCCTTCACATACCTGGCTCGTCAGTCCCCATTTCATTCCATTTATTCAGGAGTTCTTTCTGTTCTCCAACTGGTCTCTAAAAATTTTTTAATTAGTTTCAAAATCAGTAACTTATTCAAAAGTTTTAAAAAGGTACCACAGCATATGAGAAACAAATTAAACATGGAAAACTTCTTTGGAATTACACTTAAATTAACTTTTAAAATTATTAAAACATATCTAGTCTCAATGGCTTAGTTAGGACTTGGTGCCAATGAGTCCAAGAAGAGAAGGTAAATGATCAGACCAGCCAGTAAACCTCACAAATAACTAACTGCCTGCTCCTCCACCACATCACATCCTATGGTTCTCAGCACATCAGCAAGCTCAGAAATGCATGGCAAGAAGACTGGCTGAGGAAATAAGACAGATTCAGTAGCATGGTCTTCTGATGTGCAAGACAGTATGGTATCCCACTATGTGCAAGACAGTATGTGTATCCACACAGATTTTCATCTAAGTTTTTTTCTATATACTACCCTGGTGAGTTCTCCTCTCTCATCAAAAGTCTATGCTCCCCATCTACTCAATAGTGGAGGATAACTGGCAGGCAGAGAAGGAGCTGAAGGGAAACTCATTCTCTCCTACTTGTCAGCATCCACAGCATCTAGAACAGACTCCCTGTGACTTTTCTCTTATTTCCTACCTCTCCCACCATTAAGTAAAGACTAGATCTAAATATAACCCCATGTCTGCAGAGATACAACAAATTATCTTCTACTAACACTGGACAATCTTATCCTATTGCCAGTGACAGGATTGCAGTCATCAAGGCCTCCAAGGAATAGTGCTCCTGTGTTCACCACCTCAGAATGTACAAAGACTAGATATCATTAAAATCTTGAAGGTACACTCACTCCTTACAGCTGTGGTGGTTTGAATGAGATGGCCCCAAAGTCTCGGGCATTGGAATACTTGGCCTTCCCACTGGTGGCGCTATTTATGGAGGTTAAGGGGTATGACCTTACGGAACAAAGTATGTCACCGAGGGTGCACACTTTGTGGGCCAAAGGTTTACACCATTCCCAATTCGCTCTCTGATTCCTGCTTGCGTTCTCAGCTGCTGCTCCCATCACAACGCCTACCTGCGGCCATGCTTCTCACTGTGATAGTGATGGACTCTACCCTTCTGGGCCAGTAAGCTCCAAATAAACCCTTCTTCCTATAACTTGCCTTGATCACACTGTTTTAGCACAAAATAGCAAAGTAACTAAGACAACAAACAAATGTCTAAGTAGGGCTATAGCATAGGTTCATTATAACAATCACTAGAATTATACAAAGTAAGAATATGTCTAAGACATAACCAAACATTTGGTACTTACAGATTTTCATTAAAAAAAGAAACCTGATACACCAGTAAATGAAAACTAACAAGGCTAACAATTATACAACTTTGTGACATTTTTCAGTACTTAACTCACAAAAGTATTTCAGCAGAAAATGTTAAAAATGTTCAATTTACCTTTCGTGCCAGTGGGATACTCAGCTCAGTGCACATACTATTTAAACTCTTCAAGATTCTTTTTTCCCAACTTCCCTGAAACAAAAGAAACAATCATTGTTTTTCATTAGCAATATCTACTCTAATAAGAAAAGATATTATTATGAGATTCACAGACATGGCAAAGATAGTTGTCCTCATTAGTTCACTCAACACTGATGACTTCTTGCTCTGCATCAGATACTGTCGATACTACTATGACATTAACTCTGCTGTAGTTTGGATAGTCAGTGCTCTTGCGCCCACATATTAAAGTTTTGAACCCCAGCCAAACACAGTGGAGAGAAAAGGGAACTTTTTGAGAACTAGAGCCTAGTGATGAGTCCTTTAAGGCATTGGGAAGTGTCCTGTTGGGCATTTGGGGGACTGATAGACATTCACATGGTGTATTTTGAGTTTCCGTAAGCAGATAAGAGCTCAGTGAAGTCCATCAGGAAGCATGGGCTCCAGTGCATACTGTCCAGGTCAAGGTCCAGTCTACCATGACTGCTCTGGTGAAGTGAGGCAGAGTGACCACCTCATCAGTTGCCATGAGTACTAGACAAATGGCCACATGTGAAATCCTAAGTAGCTGGCACACAGACCTCTGTGTGCTACAAGCACTAGTTTAAAAGAAAACTGATCCACTTACAAGCACTGTACTTGTTCTAGTTTCTCCATATACTGCTTTCTTCAAATATACCAAAGTAGTTCCCAAGGCTTCTTACACAGAAATGGGGTTTCACAATCATGGAAGTTTAAATAACACTGGATAAAATTTTAAATGTTTAAATTTCACTTAATCCAATGTTGTTCAAACTTATGTGATTCTAGAAGTCAGAAAAGCTGTAATTCTTAGTTCAACATAAACTAAGTTCCTGCTGCATAACAGTCAGGAGAGCAGACGCAATGGGTGCAAAGATGCCTCAAGTGTTCTTTGAGGGGCACACAGCTGGTCGGGAAGGTGTGCAGAGAAACAGCTGCTGCAGCTTATGCTATACGGGCTATAAAGCAGAGAGCTGTGAGGGAAGGGAGGGGCAGATCCTTTCACTGGGGGTACTGGACAACAGAGAAAAGATGCCACCTTAATTGAGCCTCACAAAATAGATGGCATCTTGATAACACAAAGTAAGCAGAAAGCTCTTGCCAGGACAGAAAAAAACAAAATGCCAACAGCGTTCATAATGCAGAAGGAAAGGACACAGTGACCTAGATGAGTGCACAGGACAATCACTCAGCAGTAGAGGATAGTAACATGGAAGGGGAAGCCGAACACAGAGAGGGAAAGTTCTTAAATGCTAAGCTTTAGGTTAGGAGCTCCACTTCCTAGGCAACTGGGAATCACAGAGGTGCACTAAATGGCCTAGTTTATGAGACAATCACAACATTCTCAACAAAGGTAGGGATAGACACTAAAGATGAGCGAGACACTAGTAGAATTGTAAGTCATCAAAGCATGGTGACGTTTTGATACAGTCTAAATGGAAGGCAGATACTAAGTAAAAAGTATTAAATTACTAGCTGGCAGAAAATTAATCTATTAAAAGTTAAATAAATGATTTTGGACTAATGATTAAGATAACTAAGTGACTTCCTGACCCCTAAGTTGTCAACAGTTTGAGAGGAGACAACAGACAGTAGAAGTACTATTATACCAAGGACTTGAACAGCCAAAGAAGTCTAAAGGAGCAAAAGACTAGGAGGCACAGAAGGAAGGTGATAAAATGGTAGTCATGAGATCCAGACTAAGTGGGCTCCATGGAAACTGGAAAAAAGTACTCAACAAGACAAGGAACTGAACTGGATTTTCTATGGACAGGAAGTAAAGGAAGAAAGACTGACATTGATTAGGAGAATATTCTTATGGTTTGAATGTTCCTCTACAAGCTATGTATTAACTGGGAGTCAATAGTGGGAAAGTGGTTGGATCTTGAGGGTTCTGCCCTAATGAATTAAACTGATGGATTTATAATAAAATTTCATTATTGGAAGATAGTGAAAGAAAGGAGGTGGGTCCTAATGGGAGGAGTTAGGTCACTGGGAATACATCCTATAAAGATGTGTTTTGTCCTCTACCCCTTATCTGTTTCTATCTGACGTAAGGTGAGAAAATCTGTTCCTCAACAGCCTTCTGCTACACCTTGGCCCAGAGCACAGGAGCTAACTGATCATGCTCTGAAGCTTTTGGAGCTGTGAGCCACAAACTTTCCCCTCCTCTTGAGTTTTTCTCCCAGATATTTGTCACAGTGATGAAAAACCTAATAGAAAACTGGTACCAGGAATAGGGTCATTACTATGAGAAAATCTGACCATGTGGTTTATGGTAAGAACCAGGAAAAAAAAAGAAACAGATCAGAAAGATTTATAAATATTGACATTTAGTCAGAAAAATCTATGTAAAATTGGGATTAGGGCAGGTTTGTTTTCTGAAGAGTTCACACTATTAAAAAGAAGCCAGATATTTGAAATTGAGACAAGTCAGACATCTTAAAGGCATCTCAGGAACTGGCCAAAGCCCACCTATGGCAAACTCAAAATTACAAAAGGTACATTCATTTGAAAGGTTTTTCTCATGAGACAGGGTGCTGTTGGCACAGAGTCACTGTGCCCAGCTGGCCAGGGAGACAGAGGTTGTTGAAGGTACAGTCCAGAGAGACCTAGTTATCACTCAAGTTGAGGCATCCTTGTTGTCATTCATGGGATACTGGCTTTGCAAGCATGCAAAATGTAAGCAATCCATTGTCATGGAGGCATACAGCCAGATTTCAAATAAGTATATGCCTGTTGGAGGAAGGTGCTTGTTTGTCCCCTGCTGCTTAGCCCCAAAATGATCACACAGAAACTGTATTAATTAAATCACTGCTTGACTCATTAGCTCTAGCTACTTAGAGGCTAACTCTTACATCTTAATTTAACCCATTTCCATTAATCTGTGCATCACCACAAGGTTGTTGCCTACCAGCAAAGTTTCAGCATGTCTGTCTCCAGCAGCGGCTCCATGGCTTCTCTGCCTTCTTTCTCCCAGCATTCAGTTTAGTTTTCCCCACCAACCTAAGTTCCGCCCTATCAACAGGCCAAGGCAGTTTCTTTATTCACCAATGGTATTCACAGCATACAGCTGGGACTCCCACATCAGATGCCAGTAATGTGGAATGTGTGAGAGAAAAGCCAGCATAGGAGAGATGCTGTGTGGACTGCGGCTGGAAACACTTGCAGTGGTGGGGCTGCCCACACCATCTGGAGCTCACATCAAACCACCATGTGTCTCAGATGACAGATTAATATTCTGCTGGGCTGCAGTCTTGCTTTGGTTTGATCCTTCCTTTCCATGACCCTATTATCTATATTTTGGAATAGAATTGTTGCTCTGTACCATTGTGTAAGTATGTAACTATCTTTTGGAATAGAACTGTTCACTCTTTACCCTTTTGTAAGCATGTAACTTGCTTTTTAAATTTTATAAGGGTTGACAGAAAAGACTTTTTCCTAAGTCTTAGAAGACGATTTGGAATTAGATGTTTGGGCAATAATAAAATTGTTAAGATTATGGGGACTCTTGAAGATGAACTAAACGCCATGTCACCTTATGAGAAGAACAAGAACTTTTAGTAGCTAGGGAGTGAAATGTTACAATTTAAATATGAGATGACTCCATGAGTTCAAACGTGAACGGATCATAAGGCCGCAGAGATAACTCTTGAATTATTCCCTTAAAGACGCATAATACTATTGTATTATTGGGAAGTGGTGCAAGTAGGAGACAGATGAGCTGGAGGAACTGGGTCACTAGCAACCTATTCTCTAAAGATGTATCTCATCCTTGGCCCTCTTCCTTTCCTGGTATCTGTCGACCAAGCGATAAACAGATCTGTTCCTCTACTCCCTTCCATCATAATGTTTTGCTCCAACACTGCACAGAAACAATGGAGCTGGAGGATCATGGACTGACCTCTCAAAACTGAGAACCAGAACAAATCTATCCTCCTCCTGAAGTGGTTCTCTCAGGCACTTACCACAGTGACAAAGGCCTAACTAATAGAGTTATTTCATATGGCATGGTTAAGGAATCGATTAATTCAAAAGACACCTATTCAGAAGTTCTCTAGGCTAGGCACTATGTTGGGTGCTGGAGGCAGATGCTCTTAAGGCAGTAAACATTTGGAGCAAAAGGAGAGGTGATGCTACAGGTTTTGCAGGTCATGGGGTTTCTATTGCAGCTACTTAATTCCTATAGTACAGAAAGGGTCAGAGACAATATATAAATGACTAAGCACTATTTCCAAAAATATATTTTAGTAATTCCCATCATTTTCCTGTGCTGTAGACTTATTTTTCCACACTGCTTACAAATTATCAAAATTTCATACATGAAAGATGAAAAATAATTCAACTGGACATTCATATATATATATCACCATTAATTCTTACCTCAGCATGAAGCTAGTTTACTTAAAAGAAAATGCATAATCTAAATATGTCATTCCATGGGGCTCAAACAATAAATATATATGTACAACCTAAACCATAGCCAAGACACTGAATATGATTGTCATCCACAGCAAATTTCCTCATACTTCCTCCTTTAAACCTCTACCCTCAAACTTCCTTATTTTGAAACTTTCCTTTTATAGATTAATTCCCATCCTAAAACTTATCAATGGAATAATATAGCATAATTTTTTTAAAAGACTTATTTATTTATTTTATGTATATGAGTGCTCTATCTTCATGTATAACTTTATGCCAGAATAGAGCATCAGATCACAGTATAGATGGTCGTGAACCACCATGTGGTTGCTGGAGACTGAACTCAGGACCTTTGGAAAAGAAGCCATCTCTCTAGCCCCTAGCATACATTCTTTATGGAAGATTAATATGACTCAATATAATATGTTGGGGGTTATCTATACTATACTATGTATTGATAGCTTGTTTTTCTTCATTTTTGAATGACAATCTGATATGGGATTCCCCTCTGTATGCTGTGATTACCACTAATAAATAAACTGCTTTGAGCCTATAGCAGAGCAGGGCAGAACTTAACTAGGCAGGAAAAC